TTTTTAACATTTGTAATTGAATATGTACATACATTTTATTTTATTTCTATAATATATTATTACTTTTATTACAAATTTGATAAGAGGAAAAAAATAATTTCGGAAATAATTTATTTTTCATTTTGGAGTTCGAATATCATTCAATTCTATTATATATATGATTATAATAAAATTATATGATATATATGATTATAATAAATAAAAAATATTTTAAACAACATATTGCATATTTACATTATGTATAATAAGAAATCAATAATAAGAAATTTTACATAAATTATTATGTATTTTAGTTATACTTCTTATTTAAATTTTTTTTTTATACTTACTTGAATACTTTCACCATCATGACAAATAATACTAGGTTCAACTTTAATGAAATGACCTTTGATTTCTTTTGTTTCTAATAGTTCTGCATCTTCATCTATAACAGTTTCTGAAAAAATTATATTAATCATTTACACAATTATTACAAATAATTGGTAAAATTAAATTTTAGTTTAGACACTACAACAATTTTTTAAATATTTTTTTCATTTTAATATATTATAGAATCTAAAAATGACAATTAATAATTTTTTAAACTTAAAATTATTTTATTGATATATACATACCTAAAGAAGGATTAATTGTATCATGACCTTGATAAAGTACGGTAAATATGATATTATGGCGCATTACATCAAAATCCCATGTTAAAACTGATCCTGGATCATTTGAACGAATTATTATACGATGAATTTGTCCACGACTTAAACTAATCGAATGATACAGATTATGTTCTTCTTGAGTAGATGTAGGTTCTAATTCCATTTTATATAGATGTTTCGGAACAATTCCTCCTTCGGTGATGTAAGTCTAATATAAATAAAAATATATATTAAATATAATTCTATTTATCTTATAATATATCTTATAATCTTTTATAAATATTATAAAGGATAACATAATAAATAATGCATACAGTATTTATTTGTTACTGTTTGTTTTACATATTTCGAACTTTTCACGCAAATATGTATGCATAGATATCATCTCCATCACTAAAAGAGAATCCCCATTGAATTCAGTGAAGCGAATACCAAGTATTTCAATTTTTTTTTTAATTCAATCCTTTTAAATATAATAATTAATAATTTTTCTCCTTCGTTTTCAATTTCAACGGGAATGCCCATGAACTAGGCACCGTCTTTTAAGTCCATAGTGATTTCGTATATAGAAAGAAATAACATAAGGAAACAAATTGGAAATATGATAACATGATGTGATATTTTTGTATTAATATATATGTAAATACATAATTTATGAACATGTATGAACTGTAAAGATATTATTATTAATTCTCGCATCACATGTTTAAATTGATACGCAATAAAAATTGAATAATTACTGAAAAATCGACATCTAAATTAAGTATTTATAGAATATTTATAGAATAATGAAATTTATAGAAAATTGAAATTTAATATAGACTAGAATTCTTTTTATATTTTATCCAATAATAAATATATCATTTATTTTGTGATATCAAGGAGAATTCCTTAATAATTTATTTACATAGATTGTCAATTATTCAATTTTTATTGTAAAATTCTATGTGATGTCAATTTTTCCCTACAAAATGAATATTTATTTCATAAATTTTTAGAAATATATATATGTGAAAAAATATTTTATATTTTATATATTCATCTTTGTTTTGTTTTATTATATTTATATTTTTTAATAACGATTTATATAATTCTTGATAAAATATTGCAAAAGACGATGCAACTTTTTTTATTCCAAAAGATGAATATGTCATCCGAGATAAATGTTATTACGTGAAACAGATATTATTAAATTCAAAATAATAATAATTTTGAAAAATATAAAGAAAAAGTTATAATCTATCTTAATAAAAATGCTGATTAAATATTTAGCTGTTCTATATATATTTATTTAGTATACCATATTATAGCATAATATATTATTTATTATTATAATATTAACACTTAATTACATTAATTATCAATTCTCACCTTATATTTTAATAATTATTAATTTGTTATTCTTTTTTTATCAATTAATTGTTTTTTATTTAGTCAAAAATTTAATTATAATTTCTAATATTTTATTTTTTATATAAGATTTGATATGAAATTCATGAAAAAAATAAATTCATATATTTAATTTATATTTAATTACATTTTAAATTAACATGATACCTAGAATTTAATATTTTCAAAAGTAGAATTTAATATTTTTGTGCATCAATTAGATAACATTTTACATGTATATTTCCTCTTTTTTTTTTTTAATTATTAAATCAATTAATTATTAAATTAAAGTATACTTTCAATAGGTGCAAATATTTCATAACAAAAGATAATAATGAAACATAAAACAATACAAAATATAACTACAATTTTCAACAAATAAATCAAAGATATAAAAATCCTTACGTTATTAGCAGTTGCGTTGAATATATAATATCTTCGAGGTACCATACCATATATCTCGCACACATTGTCCTACCATATTAAAATACATTAAGTATAAAATTTAATACTAAAAAATATTAATCACTGGAAGTACTAATTCTTATATTATTTTTTTTATCGCATATAAATGAAAACATACACGTTCACATCTGAGAGGAAGATATGTTTTATTAATATTAACATTACATTTTATATCTAAATTAAAAATCAGTAAATAATAAATCATAATAATATATAATAATTCATTCTTACCTCAGACGATCCTCCAAGAAAATCTGGCATAAATTCAGGATCAATATAATCACTTAAATTGCTTGGACCTTGTTCTTGATAATTGGTGCCACAGTAAAATATAAACTTTTTTCTTGTATTTTCATCTGTGTGTGAAATTAAAAATATTAAAATGTTTTTATATATAAAAATTAATACATATAATAAGATATTATTTTCATTATTGCAATATTATTAAAAATGTTCGAATTGATCTGTTAAGAAATAATGAAATGTAAATAATTTAGTAACATTTGTTTACTTTTTTAATTTTAAAAAAATTTATTTTTCTAAAGCAATTCTATTTTTTTATCAATATTGCTTTGTCAAAATCAACTTATATTTAGATTTTTTTTTATCTTTTTCTTGTTTATTATACAAATTTAAAGCTTAGAATATTTTAAACATATACAACACAATATATAAATATGTATATACATTTATTTCTTAGAAATAAATAAATTAAAAACAAATATTATATTGTTTTACATATTTATACATATATAAATCAAATATTATTTTTAATTATAAGTATAAAAAATTAAAATTTTAAAGAAATTTATTATATATTATCTATAATTCTGTATAATTTCACTAAAATTGTTTTAAAAATTTATTGAAATGTAATGTTTTTTTTAATTTTTATTATTGAATTATTAATTAATATTTATAAGAAAATTAATTAATTTTAATATCGAATTATTTGTAAATAAGTATTATAAATAAACATTAAGAGTATAATCGTGACATCTATGATTAGAAAATAGTACTATATGTTTTTTTCTTATATTCCTGATATAATAAGGATTGAAACCTTTCTTTCTTTCTTCTTGTTTCGGATGTTGAATAGTAAACATAGGTATGTAAAATGTGTAATATATCTTTTATACAAATTATAATTATAATGAAATATAGATATATTTAAAATCATTATTAATCAATTTATTATAATTCAAGATAAATTTGATAGTTGATTTGTAATTTATATTTTATATTATCATAAAGTCATGAATTTTGAATAATAATTCAATAAGAAAATCGGCATGCCGATTAAATTATCTATCAAGTAAATTTTATACAAAATTATTTTTATTTACTTTTTTTTAAATAAAAAAACAGTTATAAATCAGCAATTATAATTTTATTATTATTTTATTAAATATTTTGAGAAAAATATTATTTGATAATTATAGAAAATTATTTTAAATGAAATGAATATGAAAATGGTGACATTGAATGTAATAGAAATTATTTCTATAATTGTATCAAAAATAATTCCTTGAATTATACCTCGTAAAAATTCGTTAAGATAATAAAAATAACGTTCATTGAAATTTTAAATATATTGATTTTGGAGATAAATTTAATAAATCAAAAGAAAAATCGAAAAGTATTGGCAGTCATTTGCTAAAAACAATAAAAATAGATTTAATTTATAATAGATAAACTTATAAAGATTTCTATTCTTTTAAAGATTGAAAATAATTTTGAAAATAAAAATATATTTCGAAGATCAAGAAATTATTTTATTTATTTATTTGTAATTTTTATAATAAATTTTTAAATTAATACTTTTTATTTCGATAAATATTATCTCTAATAATAAAGACAACAAAAAGATTTTTTTTATTATATAAAGATTTGTTTATAGAGATTTTTATTAGATTAAATATTTTTTTATTATTGGATATTCAATCATTGGGGATATTAAATATTCAAATATTATATAGTTATTTTTAATGAGCAACTGAAAAAGAAAATATATATGAAATAGTTCGAAGTTTAAATCATAGACAAGGACAAAGTTAGCTAATTGAACAATATATAGATTAAAATAAGTATATAAAATTTAGTATGTCAAAATTTATTTTTTATTGATAAAACTAAAACTAAAAATAGATCTTTTAATTTTTTCTGCTATTTCTATAAATACTTTTATTTATAGAATTTATATGAAAGTATATACTGAGCTAAGAATTAATATTTTAAAATACGATCAAATATTGTATTATATATTATAAAATAATTATAAACTTATATTTGTATCATTAGAAATTCAAACATAATTCATATCAATTCCTTCATACAAATATGATTTAATATCAGGAAATGTTTATTAATTTTCTAACATAAATATCATTTTTTAACATAAATTGGAAAAATGGTTTAAAATAATCAGTTTTCAAATGTATTAATTTTTTCTATACTGATATACATGCACTATTTGCCCGCTGTGTCATTCAAAATTATAAAATTGTTTTTTCATACTTCTTAATAGAGATTAGAAAACTAAAATAATGAGTTTTTATATGTATCAAATACATTAATTTTCTATATATCGATACATATACATTGTTTGCCGGCTATGTCATTCAATATTTCTTCATTTCTTTTTAACAAAGATTAGAAAACTGCAAATACGCTTCAGCATATTTCATCATTTTATCATTTTTAAAATTATATATAAATTGAATATAGAGATTGAACAATAAAGATGCTAAAAAAGAATATAATCTATAAATATTCTGTATGCTGTTTTTCTCCTTCAATTTGATCTTTTTTTTTTTTTTCTTTTATTTACCTAATATTGTTTTTTTCTTTATTTTGATGGATGTATCCAAACATTTTGAATACTTTGAAAGAATTGCTTTCATATATATCATACTTCAAACATTTTAAATAATATGGAAGAATTCTTTTCATTATTGACAATTTTCTGCAGTATAAGCCATAAGATTAAATTGATTGAAATTTCACTTTCTAAATTTTTAATTTTAGTGCCAAAATATTTCTAAAAAATCAAATGATTATTTTAATGGAATTAATTTAGCTTTTGTATTGTTTAATTCATCCATGTGGATGCTTTCTAAGATACTTGCAATCTTATCGAAGGAATGTATTCCTATAAAACAACAAATAAAAACAGATTTCCTTTCAAATTTGCAGAAATAAAATGCGTGGTTATATTGAAACAATTTCTGCGCCTTTTTGACCAAATATCAATATCATGTATGTATATTCTGTATTTTTTAATTCTTTTTTATATTAGATTATTTTTTATATTATTTTTTTTTTACGATTTCATTGATTGCATTTTTTGATTCTTTGTTGTTATTTTTCTTTTCGAATGGCTTCTTTTGAAATTCTTTAAAAATGATTACAATAATTATTGTCCTTTAATTTTCGTTCTTTTTGAGAAGTACATTGTAAAGAATTTTACAATTTTTGATTTGATATTTTCAGTACTATGAAAAAATTCTTATTTCTTATTAGTCGTGTAATATTTATCTTGAATAAATTCTCTTCAAATAAGAAGAATTTAATGATAATATATGTCCTTTAATTTTTAATCTTTTTTTGACAAAATATTGAGGAAAATCCTACAACTTTTGATTTGATTTCTTTTGGTATTATTATGAAAAAATAATTATTTAAAATAGCTAAGAGTTGTGATTGTTCATTTCTGCTAGGTGATAGATTCTTTCTTTGACGCACATTTCTTTATTAGCACATTCTTAGAATAAAAAAGCAGATGAAATCATAAATCAAAACCATAATAAAACATTATTCATTGTTATATACGATCATACACGGTATGTTACGTAAATTAATTGAAATCTTTGAATAAAGTTAAATTAAAGTTACAATGTAACTTTTATTCAAAACTATATTTAATTGTTCTTTGATAACGAATAATAATTAAAATAATTTTATTTGTTATTTATTAAAATTCCCATCTGTATAATATAGTCATAAGTCAAGAGAGTAATAGTCATATTCTCATCGAACAAGAATTATTAGCACAATCTAATTATAACCGAATAAAAATGTATAAGCTCATTTTAACAGAGTATAATATAAAAATGATGTAATTGAATAAGAAAATTTTAAAATAATACAAAAATTTTAAAATATAAATATACAATATCTGAAATATTTTTTATTAAAAATATTATATATTAATATTGTATAAGCATACAATATTAATATTTTTATTGATTTAAAATCGAATGAAATTGTTATAATTTTCAATTAATTAAAAAATAGCTGTAATTTTTTGATAATTTTTATTGATAAATGTATGTATGATTATTGCATTTTTGCATAAATTTTTTTTGTGAAAGTAGAAAAAAATTACAGTTAAATATTAAATATTCATTTTACTTTGAAAAAAATATGACAAGCAAATTTTATAATATATAAGTTTGAAATTAAAATCATTAATAAAGTTATTCGATAAATTATTGTTACTTAAAAATTGAGTTTTCAGAATTTATTACATTGAGCAATGTGATAAATAAAAATTCGAAATTTAGAATAATAAAACATCGAAAACATCTTTGAAGAAAAAATAGCAAAAGAAAGACTTCTAAAAGGAGATCTAAAAACAATCATTAAAATAGTAATGATTCTACATTATATATATATATATATACATTAAAATATTACAGAATAATCTTTTTATTGCACAAAAATACGATGGATATGTCTTCCAATAAAATAATGATTCCAAGCATAAAAATGAATAATTAAAATAAAATAAAATAAAATTTTTTGAAAATAATATAACATATTGAAATAGTTTCTGTAAAGTTTAAACACGAATTCTATCGAGCATTTGTCGAATCATATATAAAAAAATAAACTTCATGAAATGTAAATTTGAATCGCCATAAAAATATATATAATAAAATATCTATAAACTCACATAGCTTCAAAAACTCATCATGTAAACATATAAATTATTATAAAATATAAGAAGATGTAGACTATGTTAACTTATATATATATTTCTATAAGAGAAAAAAAGCCGATCGATTAAATTATCTGAATTAAACGCGGATGTTCTACTTGCTAGAATTGTTCTAATCATTAAAAGCTACCTAGGATTGATTAGCAACTCTTTTTCTCTTTATCTATATAACAATCAAAAAAATAAACAAATGAAAGACATTGATGCATATATTTATTCTATTAATTATTTAATAGGATTAATATTAAGTAAAAAAATTATATTAATCTATAAAATTAAATCTATAAAATAAAATCTAAAAATAAAAAAGGAATAATTTAAAAATTAAAAAATTAATATATAATAATGATATGATTTTATAAAATTTGATTTTTTTATTTACTTACTTATAAACGTACTTATCAGCGTCCACAATATAGGAAAACATCTAGGTGCTCGCATAATTAAAACTCTTCCCATTGTTTCTGGATAATTTATTTCAACGATTTCAATAATGCGTAATAAAGCCTAAAACAAAATATAAAAATAATAATTTGAAAAGAAATTGTTTATCTTTCAATTTCAATTTGCTATTATATTATATTATATTAAATGAGAATAATATGAAAAAAATAAAATCTAAATATGTAAGTAATAATGTATATTATTATTATTATTATTATTTTATATTTATTAAACAAAAAATGTATTATAAGTTATATTAAATAAATTTTATGTACCTTTATACCAGGTCTCCATAAATGGCGCATATTTAGACCTTCAAGATCTATAAGTAAACACCATTGAGAAACTGGATGACCAGAAACAGCAGTTGCTTCTTCCATTAGAACTAATCCTTCTTCACAAATATGTAATACCTATAATAATGAACATTATAAGAAACTATATAATATAAATATAATTTTATCATACAAGATTTACCAGCATCAATAAATCATCTTCTCCAATAGATTTCAATAATCCTTTTACATCCATTTGCCCCATTCTTAAGATATATAAAGGTTGGCCATCTATAAATTAATAAATTTTATTATTTTATTATTATTAAATTATTATATTTATATAATTATTATATTATCTCCTAATAAGATTTAATAATATAATAAAAACTTTAATAAATAAATATAATAAAAAATATGATATAAATAATTTCTCTTAAAATAATATTATTTTTAACAAATTTATAAAATAGATATAATTATAATTTTTATGCAGCATAAAGAAACAATCAAAAAATATTTATTACATATAAAAATTCAAATTTCACATACAATATTTATATGATAAATCATTGATATATTTAATAGCTGTAATGATTTTTAGTGCATATTTTATAATAATTAAGAAATATATGTACTTTTGTATATTATAGACAAAGAATTTACCAATGATTATAAATAACAATAAAAATACCTTTATCAAAATAATGCCAGCCACCAGGAAAATAATCTTTTACAACTTGTGGTACTTCGTATTCTTCAAGTAGTTTATCTATTTGGTGCTTTTTTCTCCAATGTAATGTCTGTGTTAGCATTTCCTTTGCTTTTTCAACTGAAAATTCAGTTGCTCTTAAAAATCTCAAAAGTGTTGCATCTCCCGGTACAGAACTTCCTCGCAATTCTTTTATGCTTTGTCGTAATTGAATGAGTTTGCTTTCTTGCATCATATCAAGTTTTCCTAAATATCTTTCTATGTAATCTGAAGATAACTGCATTTCTAAAATTATATTTTTTTTATTGAAGGTTTTAATAACTTCAATATAAGTTTTCCTATTTTTAACTCAATAAATTTATAAATATTCTATATAAAATAATAGAAAATATAATATACCTCTATTCTGTAATTTATTGTCTGTATAAGAGTAAGTTTCTTCTTGATTAAGAGATTCTTGATTTTTTACAATATTTCTAAAAAAAGAAATAAATAAACTGATATATTATTTATTATTATACAGATATTTATGTAATTAATTTTTTTACATAAAAAATAGAAAATCTTTGAAAATAGTACTTAAAAGCATAAACTTATTTTTTAGAATTTTAAACTTACCCTTCATTCTTTTCAGACATCTCATTTGGATCCTTCCATGGAGCTACATATATAATACCTTCCTCCTTCAATTGATTTATAAAATATTCAATTATCTCTTTACCCTAAACAATATTCATTATATAACATTCATATAACATTTCATTAGAATAGGAAATATTTATTAAAAAAAAAAAAAACATTATCAAATATAATACCTTGGCAATATTTTGAGCATATTGTTTCATTGCTAATTTTTCCATTGAGTTTTCAAATCCAAAAAAATTTTTAATATCTAGACTTGCAGTTTGTTCAAAACATGTCCATTCTGAATTCTCAGGATGAACCTATAATCGTATCAAATTAATTCTTCTCCAACATTCATTCTTACAATTTACATTAATTTTATATAATAATATAAATTTTATTTAAAAAAAATATATATATAAGATATTTTATTTATAAAATATTAAAAATTATTTGATTAAATTAATTATATCAATTATATTTTTTTATAAAAACTTCATATAAATAAAATCACAACTAATAAATTAATTTAAATACTTACAAAATACCTGCACTTTTCGATAACCGTTACTCTGGACGAAAAACTTTCATTATATGCTTCTATTTCTAGAATACTATTTCGTCTGTCTAAAATATTTTTTTGAATAAAATAGACAAAATCTACACCAATAATCTGAAATAAAAAAAAAAGTATGTAAAACATTGTAGTAGAATATATTAATTATATAATATAAATATTATAATATCATTATCATATTTTAATATGATATGAAATAATTTATTATATTGCTGATCAAATCTAAATTTTGATCTAGATAGATTTTTGAATTACAAAATTTGAATATTATCGTATACTAAATCATTGAACTCATCTTAAAATAATATATTCTAGAATCATATTGAGTTAAAAAAAATTTTTTTTTTAATTTTTAATATCAATTGACCAACTTACATATACGTACTTTTTTTAAAATATATGGAGCTTCAACGTTTAATTTACACCGCCGTTCCGTTATTCTAATAGAACCATTTTTACTTTCTTCATCAGAAACTATTTCGCAACCAACAAAAACAGGAATTTGCGGACAGGTAGGAAATCTGCGCTCATATGCCTATCAACAAAATAAAGATTTGTAAGAATTAAATGTAAAAGCTTTCATAAATTAGTATTAACAGTACATGCAAAAATCATAAAATAGAAAACGTAAAAATTATATTATAAAATAAAATCTTAACATATAACATAACATATAAATTAATAAGAGTTTATTGATAAAAGTAAGCTTTAACTTGCTCTTTCTTCAGTCAAATAGCAATGCACTTTATTGCAATGTTTTTTATATAACATATTTATATATTTCAATATATCAAGTTGAAATTGATATTTAATAATTTATTTAAATATTTTTATTCTATTTAATATTATTATTCTTATAAGAATATTCAAAATTATTTATTTACTATTTTGTATATATGTGAGATAGATTTATATGTACATATAATTATGTATGTACATGTACGTATTTTCAATATATTTTCTTTATATTTTTTAATTTTCATTATATTTACAGACAAAAAAGAAGAGAGGAGAAGGAAGAAAAGGAAGGGAGAGGGAGAGGAAGAGAGAGAAGGAAAAAGAGAGAGGGAAACAGAGAAAGAGATTCAAAATTTACTATTTTAGAAAAAAACTTTTTTACATAAAAATACTTTAATAAATTTTCATATTTATAATCTTTCTATTATGATCACTATAGTTTCATACATGTATAAATATAAATTTAATATAATATAATGTATGATACTATTATTAATACTTATTTAATTTTAATAAATGAAATACAGTCTACTAAAAAATAATTTTATATTTTCGTTTATAAAAATAATTCTATAACTATTTTCAAATCTTTATCATGCAATGAATTTGACAATTTCATATTCTGATTTGCTTACTGAGATGTATCCATTGCTCGCTGGTGTTTAACTTAGTTGTAGCAGTTTGCAAGCTCGCATCATGACAATTAAGGAAGATACTTCAGGAATTGTCTGCTGTTATTTGCCTTCTGCTTTCTTGAATCTGAATTGGTGATGAGAGTGAGAATCAATGAAAGCGAATGATATAATGAAATGTAATTTAATATTCCGTATTCTATTGTAGTCTTTGTAACATAAAGTTCAAAAATCGTTTCAAAAAGTTCTGAAATCGTACATATCGATAAAAAATCGTAAAAGCGGAGCAAAGATTTATGATATTATAAAAAATGTTATGATATTTCGATGATATGATTGATTTATAAATTAAACATTTAAATTTTTTAAAATAACAAATAAATATGTAATTTAAACAATTAAATCGGACTAAGATTGTAAAAAATACAAAAATATATTTTCATAGCAATATTAGACATTATATAAAATCATATAAATTTACATTATTGTATTTTTCATATATATAATGTTATTGTTTACTTTAGAAAATTGCTCAACACAGTATATCATATGCAATATTATAAAACAGCAGTATTATAAAGGCACATATGTAAAATAAAAAATAAATAAATATATATATATATATATATATATATATATATATAAACATTTATGATTAGTCACAATAAAATTATGAGATATATATGTTAATTTTGCAAAAAATTAATACATTTTTATATATTTTTATATTCGCTAATAATATTTATTATTATCTTTATTTTTTATAATTTCATTTTTTTATAGAAATAGATTTAATTATGACAAATGTTTAATAAAACAAATAAATTGCATATCATTAGATAACATAATACAAAAAAGATGCAAATTTTAAATGTAGCATGTTAAAGAAATATTTAAACACAACAGTGATTTTATGAAACAGTGCGATATAATAAATAAAATAATTTTAAAATCTTATCTATCAAAAATGAGAAAGAATATGTTGGATATAGAAAATGAAATAATATTCTAATGATATTATAACAAATTCTAATTCAAATTCGGATCTAAAGTATATATAATATTAATTATAATTTCAATTTTCAGATTGATCTATACAGAATTAAATCTAATAAAAAATTTAAAAAAAAACTTATTAAAAAAAATTATAAAATTATTGAAAATTATATTATGAATATTTTTAAAATAAAGTGAGTTAAATTTGTTCGAATTATCTCATGAGATTATTATCTAAGAAAAGAAATATATCAATAAAATATATTCCGAAGAATATATTGTATATATATATAAACTTAAAAAAATATGTAAAAATAGTAATCTTATTAATAAACTAAAATTATTATTCATTAAGTTACTAAGATGAGGTTATGTATAGTTTCGTCTTTTGTATGAAACATAAATATGGATATGTCTAAAGATAATACGATAAACCAAAAAATAAAAAATATTATGAATGTTAAAAATAGAAAATGTAAAAAAAATGAATTTTGTATAAATTATAAAAATATTCTGCTGATATTCATTAAAAATCCAAAGACTCAATAGATATAGTTAGCATCCAGTTTTTGATCATTATCTTTAATTAAGCGAATTATTAAAATCTTATTTTATGCTTGCCCTATTCTTACATTCATAATATCAATCTACATCATTATATTTTCAAGGACACTAGTGATTAAGTCCACCAAAGAATTTACAAAAACGAATATGGATCTGAACCTAATATAATTGCCAAAATCAAAATTTTATATAATATAATAAATTCCTTTTGTGGAAAAAATAAAATTTTATTGAAATTCTATGAAAATGTTATATTTTATTTTAAATTGTTTATCTATAAGCAATTTTTTTATATTTCTCAATGTGATTAAAAATATAATTGAATGAACAATATTTTTTACTGTATAATATATA